CATTCAGCTCATTGTAATCAGAGGTGACAGAGGATTTTAGAAAAAGCCCAAAATAAAGTAAATTGTCATGCTGTGTGGAATTTCCCTTGACGTCCACCGGCCCAAAATAATATTTTCCATAAGATTCATTTTCCCAAGCACTCAGGAAAAATACTCTGGTACAGTATGTGTTGTTTCTGAAGAAATCACTGTATTATTGAAAGTTCCCATCTGTCATACTGTCAAAAGCTGCAGGCTAATGAAAGCTTCAATCTGCTAATCCTCCTCCACAATACAAGGAGAAATTATTTCAAAGCACAACATCTTTTACCCGACATGACATGAAAATCAGCTGCTCAGTCAGTTTGCCAGTTCGCTGAATGTTTATTTGCAAAACGAAGGCTACGATTTAAGAAGGAATTTTAGGCCCCCGTTCCTCAAATAAATTTTTAATGACATTTCATTAATTACACTGGAAATTATTTGCTGGTGCACATTTCGGCATGTGTGAAAGAGGACACAACTTGGTGCAGAATCACATTTGTTTGGCATGGGTGGATGAAATCACACAAAACAGTGTATTGAATTCCTTAACCATTCCCTTCAATAAGTATAGACTTAGACTTCTGTAACTTGTATATCAATGAGGCGCTGGTTCATGGTTTGTCTGTCCTCAGATCACTATTCGTATAGGTACCTGCCACTGCTGACGTTTTCGGAGATTCTCCAAGGGTCGATTTGGCCCTTGTTGAAGTCACTTAGGACTTTACATCAGCCCCTGCATCCACCATGTTGACTTGGTCACGTAACGTCTAATATATCCAAGACCTTGACATGCGCTGTTGATCCGAGATCATCAACATCATTCACTTCATCTGGGAGTGGTGTTTCGGCCCGGTGCTGTTGTGCCTCCTTTCAGCTGTGCAAACAGATAATGAAATTGTCTTTTGAGTCCAGCAAAGAGACAAATCATTGTTCAGGCTGTAGGTCAGTGACACTTAGATTAACACTTAGAAAATACTTAGAAAAGGGTGAAAGGGCAAGCAGACCAAGTTTTACACAGTCATGTCAACTTTGTCAAAATAGCACTGAAAGAAGCAAATTATGGTAGGTGAATATTAGAGTCTTTCACAAAAGCATCATGTGACAGTGCATAAATTAAGAGTACCAAATACATTTTTAAAAAAAAAATGGTTTTCAACTGGAACCGGTTCCACATATCATAGAACTGCCCAGTTGTTTAAGCCATTTAAACCATGGTTAATGTAGAAAATGTCCAAATGAAGGAGTTCAAATAAACTGTATCGACAGGTTGTGATTCTGTCCCATTTACAATTTCAAGTAAAGCAGTGGTGCAACAACTTTGTCACATTATATCGTTCATTAAACTAGATATTAGAAATACAAAAATAGGATTTCCAGGACACGTTGCACAGGGTTAGAAAGTTATTACTCGTTATTACTGAGTTTCAAACATTAGCTCAGGAGGCTTATGGTCCAGGGAGAAGGAATGGCCCTGGGTTTTGGTATGGCTGAGCTCGTTTCACTGTAACGCTGTGTTTACACATGTGTAAACACACTTGGAGGACTTTTGCTGTGCAGTAACAGCTGTTCACCCCCAACAAAGGTGGACAAAGCGTCACATGAACTCCAGTTTACAATCAGGAGGCACATTGATTGATTATTAATTCATGCCATAGTTATATATAATTGGAGAAATGACTGGAAACACGGCTGAGTTGATGGCAGGTGCTGTTTACTACTTCTGCATTTCTAAATATGGTTTGCTGCTTACTTAAAAATCTTTATCTTTTTCTGTTACATAGTTTTTCTGTTCGAATGTTGGCGGTCACTTGCCAGGAAAACTTAGGTTGTCTGAAGCATTTGCACAACAACCAATTGTGTTGTTTTTCTGGTGAGGATGGTCTCAGCAGATCCCGGGTGTGGTTTTCACTTCTAGCCGACACATAGCAGCAAATACACTTTGTAAAAATAATGTTATATCTGTAGGACAGATGTTCTTTTTTTCAACAAGCCAGATGATGACTGTTCACATCCCTTCCTCTCTTCTTTTTTTTTTTTTCCTAATTCCAGGGCCCACCTGCCTTGACCACAGTCCAAAAACAAGACACTTAAAACACAGGCCCAGATCACAGTTAGCTTAATACCTAGTCATTAGCCGCTAATAACCATCATTTAATCGTGAAATTCTTGTTATCCCTCCTAAATGAGGCTTGATAAGAAATTTGTTAATTGACGGGAAACTCAAACTTGCAGCGGTCCATATGTTTTGCTGAAGTATTATTCACTCTCCGTGACTGTGTGTGTTGCTTTAGCTACTGGATGGGGTAACCCCAGTCACTTGCCTCCTCAACACCTGTGTTTACTTTGGGGCCTCGGCCCCCATGACCCAGCAGCAATCCTTCACTCACTCAGGAGATGGAGTGAGGTTCCAGCCTCCAAATATGTGCTGTCCCTGCACTTTTACCACCGTGTGATTCCTCTAAGACTTTCATTATGGGGCACGGGCCAAACGACAAGTATAAATTACAAACCTTTTCCCAAATTCTGGTAAATTTAAACATTCTGATTCAGAGCTCTTTCACCATGATGTTAAGCTAGAGCAGAAATTGGCTGTTTGTCTGTGTTTGTTGTGGCTGTTGAGGCTTTTTAAAGTGCTTTGGGAATGGAAAGTGGAGCTGAGGAGCCATTAGTGTAGAATATAACTGAACTTGTCTTGTCGTTGGCCAGAGCAGCAGACAGAACTGGATGCAGTGATTTTGAATATTCAGCAGTAATATAAAGATGAAAGAAACAGATTTATAACTGGAGGATTGCTGGTTGAAGCTTGCAGGTGTTTTCAGGGAAGTTTGGGATTACGACTTCCTCTCACGGCTTCTGTTAAGGGCTAAGTGCTGAACCTTCGTACTGTTTTGGTTCAGAGCAAACTGCCTGTTTACCTTTCAAATCAAAACAATTTAGCTCATTTTGAACTGTATTTTATTTAGAGAAAGTCCTTGCACAGTTTTCTTGTGGTTTATTTAGAGGTTTATCTTCTTTTGTTAGATAAAACTGTTTTCAACAGCATGTTTGTATTTCTTAGAGAAAGGTATCGAAAAACATTTTCTTTTGGTGTTGGTGTATAATATTGTATCTGCACTAATATAGAAGAATTCAAGGGATATCCTGCTCTACTTCTGTGTTTTGTTTTAGTTGAAGTGTTCTTGAGAAAAGCATTTTAATGCCCATCTCAAACAAGTAGGTTGTTTGGTCCCACAATGCACCTGTAGTGTGAGGAAAGGGCCACACATGATATAACTGTAAATACACCAGTGACTTCATCAGACTTCATCAGATAAAAAAATGTGTAAGGATGAAACTCAATATTAGGGCTGGATATTGAACTTTGATACTTTTATGGACAACAAAAAAAAACAGCAAAATTGTTTTGATATGAACGAGGATTGAAAAATGCCTCACCATTTGGTTTTTGCTAAAATGGTTTGATAAACTTGGTATAGAAAAAAGTATCTGTAAGAATCAGAAGAGAGAGGCACTAAATTTTCAACTGTAACTCATGAAACTACACAATTGATAAAATGGAAACTTGAAAACAGCAAGATAAAAAGAAATCCAACCGTCAGTAGAAGAAGATGGGTTCAGGTGGGCCGTACTGGGGGCATGGCTGAGGGTAGTGTCTTTTTCGTTGTGACATCACAAAGCTCCAGAAGTCCTGACGGCTGGTTTTAAGGCTCAGTTTCTGAATACAGGCTGTGTGTATTTCTCTGTGGACTGAGGCTTTGATACTCTCACAGTATTAATATAGAACCTAGACCTGATCTATAATCAAACATCACATGGACGTCTATCTTTATACAATATGGGACCTTTAAATTCTCTGAAAATTAAGTTATTGTTCATACAGTTCAGCCCCAGTATGTAGTTAAAAACTTGAGATGTAAATTTATTGACATGCATATGGAAAGAAATGTAAAATCAAACCTTTTTCAACACAGATTATCCTTTCAAATCTCCCACATCAATAGAGACAATGTTTTCTCCACTGTACTGCTCCTGTAACTTGAGTGAATGATCGTTCTACATTTCTTTTTACGGTCTTCCTTCCTCTGGATACCACATGTGAGAGGTCACCACTGACCTGTTTACTGCCTATAAGATGTTAACTTGCTTCGGATCTGATCAAAGTTTCTGCACAGTCAATTTTGGATGCAGGCCAGAGTTCTGTTGCTCGTACTACAGTGTTAACTGTTCAAATATTAGTGCCAATGTTTTTTCAGGTGTGGATACGTTAGTGTGTGCCAGAACCCAGTTTCCATGGAAACAGGCCAGCCTAAATGTATATAGAAAAAAAATAAATAAATAAAATTAAAAAAAAAGCTGCCACGGTATCATATAAAGCCATTAAACTCTCTTTTGATTAATATTTCTCAGCTTTCTGAAATTGGTGAAGGCAGCTGTGACGTTCATGGGTTTTGTAGTTGTCAGCTTTCTGTCGGAGAAGGAACATTGACCTCTCAACAATATTTATGATCATTTCTGTTAAGAAATGGTATTTGGAGTATTCGGGAGTGTCCTGGGAGCTTGGCAGGGTTGGTGAAGTGCTGACATAGTAGAGGCAGGTTGAGTCCGCCTCATGACTTTGATTGCATGTCAGGCTCACTCTCTTTTTCTTTTTGCATATTAATTAATTGCTTAAACTTATTTAAATATTTGATGAATCGTACATTTGGAAAATTTGACACTATGTTTACAAATTGTCAGAAAAGTGACATGAAAAGAAAACGTTCCTCTTAACGAAATTACATCAAAGTTTTACTACATTAGAATGAATAATATTGTTTAGTTAATTGTTAATGTGGAGTTAAGCCTGAGTACACTGAAGCTACAGTATATTAACGGGTGAAAAGCTTCCATAAGGAACCTTTAAGGCTCCATGTGACTTTTTTTTTTTCTCAGGTTAAGAGAAACATTTCAAACCGTTCGAGTGTTGTCTTTTCCAGGACACTGGCAAGTGCAGGAAAAGAACTCAAAGATAACTTCCTGAAAGCCCTGGCAGAGCGAGAGGAGGCCAACCGCAGTGGGAAAATGACTGTGAGTACATTATTACAGCACTCCAATTGCTACGTAATGGGATTCCCCTCAAATATTTCTGCAATTCCATTAGGATGGGAACAAAATCCATACTGTGTCAAGTTGAGTGGAAATGCCCCCCCTCCCCTGCACCCCACCCCCACACCCACTCCACAGACCATGAGAGCCTGCTGCCGGCCCTTCTCCCATCCATAAAACTCTGTTTACCAAACTCTAACGACCCTGTCCTGTGTGTGCTGTTCATATTGAACCAGTACAATAATTTATAAAAGGGCCTCACCTGAGGAGCCTTCAACGGGTTTTTACAAATCTTTATGAATTTATGACTCTTCCCACTATATGTAGTTTATTTAACCTTGCACCAACACTTTGAATTTTCACAACATAAAGTGTATGATTAGTCTTAAAAATGAACTTGTTTAAGTTCTGGATTACCAGCATTTGTTATTTTTCAGTAACAATCAACAATGAATTTATAGTTTTTTCATCTGTGGCCACTAGTAGAACTTCACTACTTGTGAAGGTCTTTGCAGACCGGTAAAGAGGAACCATATTTACCAACAGACATGTGTGAACATGTTGCAGATGCCCAATGTAATATGAACAGAGCTGCTTTTGGACTGTATCTGAGCCTCTGTCGGTGTACCGGGACTCATCACCTGCAAGAAGTGCAAGGGTCAGGTGTGTTGTCAGTCATCCTTGGTTACAAAGAATGGGTTTAGGGATGTGAAGCATCACCTTTCGGTTGAGGAAAGAGTCGTAAGTTGGTACAGCTGTTGGAGAAGTACCAACCAGAAATGCCTGTAGTTGATATCAGGTAGACTGAGTGCGGAGAGCGTAGCGTTCCCTTGCCCATCTTTCTGGAAGACGTCACTGAGGTGGCCTGAAAGCTTTGCAGTGGTAAGGTAGCAGCCATGCATGAGGCTTGTATTCAAATTCTGAAAGTTTTGAGGCTTCGTTACCTGGAGGTGGAGGTTTGCCTGTTGCTTCTACAATTGCTTTCTGGGCTTAGAGAAGTCTTGTGACAATGTAGGAATTCTTGAGCTGGGGCTTTTACTACCAGCTGTCCAGTCCTTGTTTATCTGTAGTGAAAGGTTTGGTTTCGATTCTCCACCCTGCGAATGCCTCATCACAGATTCTCTTTGTGATTTCCATGGGCACAGTGCATCTGATCAGGTGCGAGTGTCCAGTTGGCTTCATCAGACCATGACCTCCAGCACACAGGTGTGAAGATGCCAGAAAATGGTCAGAAAATGAATCCTTTGTGTTGGGGGTGAAGGAGCTCAATTATCTTTAAGATGGAGCATGAGATCAAAAGGCATAAAGGTGCAGCATCTGCAGTGATGCAGGCGTCGTATTTCCTGCCATGGGGAAGCTGGAGCTTTGAATATGAGCTTAACTCTCAGTTTACCAGTGTATTTATGCTCCAATCCTCAGCTAATGACCGAAACAATTACAAATAAAAGCAAATGAAACCAGTGTTCTTCAGAGAGGTCAGACTTTGAGTGGGACCTTGGAGCTGATGCTCCTCCAGCTCAGTTGGTTTCGGCATCCAATCAGCATGTTGTGGACATGCCCAACTGGGAGGAGACCCCAGATTTTTGATAGTTGGATGGATTACATCCCTCACCTGGCCTGAAAACGCCTTGGAATCTTTCTTCCAGGAAGAGCTCGAGATCGATGCTGAAAAGAAAAACTTTTGGGATAAGTTGCTTATCTTGCTGCCACCCCAAACTGCTGCCTACATGGGAATATAAATGTATAGATAAAGGGCTAGAAAAGCATTTTAATGTTTATTGCTTACACATCTGTCCCGTCAGAAGTCAAGCTTTGCTGATTGGGGAGCCCAGGGAGGTGTTTTTAAATCATGGGCAAAACCTGCATGCTTAATTAAACTTGGATGCACTGGGGAGAGATTTTAACCTCTGACCATGAAGCTGAATATTTTCACTACAAACCTTACTTTTAACACCGTCCTGTGTCTATACTCACGGTTTATGATGAATGGAATGTGTACCGTTTGAGGGATTGTGCTCGGCATTGGTCTGCAGGGAGTGTTAGTGTTGACACACTTCAAATGATTCACTTCCAAGATGCTGGAGTACAGAAAAAAAAAAAAAGGAGTTTTGTTTGACCTCCATTTACCTGCCCCTGTGGGATTTGCAATTATGAGATCACATGAAGTGCATGGAGGGGAGTAGAGGTAGTAACACCAGAAGTTTCCCCACTGGATGTTCACTGTGTAAACAGTACCATGCAAAATCCCACTCTCTCTCTCTCTCTCTCTCTCTCTCTCTCTCTCTCTCTCTCTCTCTCTCTCAGTCCTTCATGACTTCAGCCGTTTGAGACGTATAACTGCAGCTTTTTCCACTCAAAGAAACCACCAGTGAAGCATGAGGCGATTTAAAGTATCTCTTCCTGTATACAGAAAAGAGAGCCAGAATAAAAACAAGCAAAATATCATGTTGTGTATTCCCAACATTGTTTTGCTGACAAGATATTTTCCCACCTCTTCTTAGTTTTCATCTCTTAAGAGCTTCCTCTGCTGAAAAACTGGACTGGGACGATGTTTATTTTCCTTTGAAGCCCACTCTGTTTAAAATTGGACCCACATTTGTGCACTTAATACCTCCTCTCTTTGAAACTGTTTAAGTAACAGGTAATCTTAATACAGTTCGACGAGGCTTGACCTCGTTGGTATATTTACATTACACAGATGTATTCCAGACAACATGTGCACATGTGTGGACATACAGTAAAACATGTGTCGTCTCTTGTTTCATCCATACGTTGCGTTCATTTTGTACTTCATGTATATTTTTTTAAATAATTTAATTGTAATTTGCCGGTTTGCATTGATGCATGTGGTATTTATACATAATGTTACACATGGTGTTTCCACAAAAACATCTGCTAAAAGTTGCAAACAACTTCACGCAGTACGAAGAAGGCAGATGAAGTTCGCATTTCTTCCCTCTTATCTGTGCTGCACCTAAAATCCTCTTGATGAAAGTGTCAAATTACTCACACTGATCTTCGATAAGGTTCAATAATAAGACCACCCGGCATCGTAAGGTATCTTTCACACTGTTCAAGGTGGGCCTTCTGAAGGACTATTGAAACACATGACTCAAGCTCCCATCTGCCACGCTCCTCAAACCTGAGGATCAGTCCCACTAACATGTTCCAGCTTCTCATCTCTGCACACTTTTACTGCTCTCTAATGCAAAGCAGTCGCTGTCCAACAAGTGTTTTTCACTTTCTTTTCTCCTTTATATTTTATGTTTGTATTTTATTGTTGCTTTAGATATTTAAAGGTCCCATATTTTACACTTTTCCGGTGTTTTATTTGACGTTTTGATCCATAAGATGATATATTTGTGATTCCAAGTACTAAAAACCATCTTTATGTAGTTTTACATCTCCTGTCTCAGGCTTCTCTCTGGAGCTCTAGTAACAACAGGTCGGTGAGCCAATCAGAAGAGAGGAGGCTCTGATCTCTCTTCTGATTGGCTGACTGTTTTCTGAGTGATCCACTAAAAATATAGCAGATTTCAGGTAAAAACACTAAGAGAAACCAAATCCTGCAAGGTTTGGATGGTGGGTCCAGGTGGGCGGGGCTTGGTGACTGCTTTGTTGTGACATCACAAAATTGCAGGAAGCTCTGACAGCTCGTTTTAAGGCTCAGTTTCTGAATACAGGCTGTGTGCATTTCTCTGTGGACTGAGGCTTTAATACTTTCACAGTATTAATATAGAACCTAGACCTGATCTATAAACAAACTACACATGGACAGAGACCTTTATACTATATGGGACCTCTAATAAATTTATCTTGCATGACATCAGCCAGTCTTCCTTCATCAAATTCCTTTGTCAAATCTGTAAAATAGGGAGATTTTTAACTAATTACAAATCTAATTGAGGCACAAATTGCCTTGTTTGTTTTATTTGATCTAAAACCTTCACTGTTTTTGTTGTAAAGTCAACCGAGTTTTCTTACATAGTCTCAAGTGTCACCTACTTAATTTATCATAAAGGGCTTCATCATTGTTGTGAAGGATTGGAAGGACACAAGAAAATCATCCATTTTAGCAACACAATGGACGAGGAGAAGAGAATACTTAAAGCTGAGTTATAGCATTCCTTTAAATGGATGACATATTCATTGTCATCTTCTGCCTCATTCATCAGAGAGGGGGAGGGGGGGGGGTCACTCTTTTGTCCTCCTTTCATGTCACACTCAGCCTTTCAAGTCAGGTTGAAATTACACCTGTCAGTTAATATGCTTGTCAGGTTATTCTGTCTTTTCTGTCCGGCCCCGCACAGCGTCACAAAAGATTGATAGCAGACGTGACTCTTGATGAACGGAGCTCATCTTCCCTTTGTGTGCGACCCCCCCCCCCCCCGCCCCCCCCCCGCCCCCCCCACCTCCTCCTGTTTTCCTGCCCTTTAGGCGAAAGGCAAAGAAATATTAGGAAGTGAAGCCTATTTTGCATTCATCATCTTTTTTCCTCTGGAGTTTGGTCTGTAGACGAAGCTGTGGTGGAAAATCTGTAATAAAAAGACTCAAAAACAAGAAAGCTGTCATCTCCTTCTCAGACAGTTACTTTATACAGAGATATGACGTGATGTCCTTGAAGAAATCACAATAAGAAATCAGACTTTGCAGCTGTGTCCTGATACATTTGATACATTACGTAGACAGCCTTGCATACCCTTCTAATGAATAGCTTGATTTATAAACTCGTGATGACATACAGGGATAAAAAGGTTAAGGCCATAAGTGCTAGTTTTATCGGACTGGTCTTTTCTGATTTATTTTCCTATACAAAGCTTTCAGGGCCTTGCCTTCATTGTGCTTTTACTTCCCCGGCCCTGTTGCGAAAGCTGCCTCGCTGCCAAAAGTCACACACAAACAAAAGCTGCACCTGGGCAGCTTTGGCTTTATTTGCACTGGGTTAGAAGTTAAGTTTTTTATCAAATCCAGGTCACACCTGC